ATGGGCTGTGGAACAGATTAATTTCATAAGTAGAGGTACCACTGTACTAACTGCTGGAGGACTCCACATTTGGTGAATAAGGAAGATTTTTATTTAGAAATATGCAAGAGGAAATCATACACTCAATAGTATTTCAAACAGCGACACTATACCGAGCTAATTGAAATAGAGGTATGAAAATTGGATAGTGGAGGCTCAGTGTTGTAGAGGGGTAATAGTTACCTGTCCTGAAGAGGAAACCACAGAAAGTAGAGTGTGGCTCAGATGGTGTCTGAGGGTGACATAATGAGTGGAAGAATCTCTCTGTGCACACTGTGTGCAAGGAGGCTAGATTTGGGACAAAGAGCCTTGCCTTGAAGTGTGCAAGGTGCTGTCTTGCATGCAAAAAGGCCTGATGGTCTTCCCAGGAAATTGGCAATGGGATTTTGAAACAGCTGGTGGCTTTAACTTTGGAGTAACAAAAACATTGATTGGATCTAGGAGTACCCCAAAATAGATGGATAGGGAAGTTGGCTGGGAGCCTGGTAGGAGACAAGCAAACCCATTTAACTTTAATCTTGGTATTATCTGCATCCTTCACATGTCTTCAGGTCTATGTGAGCCTCCCATGGGAAAGTCTCCTGATGTTCAAAGGTCATAGTGACCTCTTAAGAACACACCTGGCTCCAGATGTGAAAATTTAAAAATATAGAAATCCCATATTCTATGGTGGGGGGTCGAGTATGCTAATAAGACTCAGGCCAAGGCTTCCTCAATTGATTATATCCATATAATGAGGTCTTCCTCTTTTGTCACTGTCTTCTACCTTGTTGTTATTGTGTGCCTTCCAAACTGTTCAGACTTATGGTGACCCTGAGTTGAACCTACAATGGGTTTTTTCTTGACAAGAGTTGTCCAGAGCAGGTTTGCTTTTGCTTTCCTCTAAGGCAGAGGGAGTGTGACTTGCTTGAGGTCACCCAGTTGGTTTCCATGGCTCAGCAGGGATTCGAACCCTGGTCTCCAGAGTACTAGTCTAACACCCAAAGAACTACACCACACTGACTCTCATTGTCTTCTAAGCATTATTGTCTTTTCTAGTTTAGTCATGTTGGCACCTGGCAGTCTCGGTTTAGTCATTTTGGCCTTTGGAGAGAGTTCACACTTGATTTGCTCTAGGAGCCATTTATTTGTCTCTTTAGCAGTCTTTGGTATCTGCAGAACTCTTCTTGAGCAACACATGTCCCATTTGCTTCTTTTTTAAAAACAGTATTCTTAGAGTTCTAATGTTATTGTGCAAAAATACCCTTAATGCATATAGCACTGTAACTCCAAAAGAGTAGAAAGGAGAAGAGGAGAGGTTTTTGTTCCAATAAGTTTTGGAATTTGAAAGAGCAGGACTATAGCAACAAATAGCCACCAACTCCTGTCATATCTGCTCCTTCTGTAGAGTTCAAGAAGTCCCTGAAGGTCCTGACCTCTAGTGGTCACTAGGTAAGACAGAAGAACAAGGTGCCAGCCCAGTCCATTCACTCCGCAGATGTATCCAAAGTAAACCACTGTCACTACCTACTGAACTATAAACAGCTTGTAAAAGTTTCTTTTGGGAGGTGAGGGTGAGGGTGCAGTTCTGAGACTCTCAGAACTGTACATGATAATTAAAGCAATGTCAAACTGCAGTGTTTCTGCAATGCAGATGCTGCCTGAGCTAAGTCAAAATGTAAATTTGTGCTAAAAAAGTATTTTCAGTTAAGCACCTGATGTGTGTGTGTGTGTATACACCCTGAAAGCTCATACTAATTAACAGATTTACAGCTGGCATCTAAATAATAAATCATTTGCCTCTATATATTGACAAAAGACATTGCAGTGTAAATTAAGGCTGTTTTTGAAAAAGATTACATGCTGATAAAATGGAACTAATGGGAAAAGAACATGTGGCAAAGTATGCATGCATGTATCTATGTATGGCAAGACATTTGCCTGCCTGATAAATTAGTGTACACGTCAAAGCTATGTATCTCAGAAAAAGTAAAAAGAAAAAAAACATACAGAAGAACTGCAGCGAGAATTATCCTCAGCTGTAGTGATTGTTCTACTATCCTATTATTTGCAAATGTCTAATTCTCTATTCAGATTCTCTTTCAAATTCCAAAACTTATTAGAACAAAAGCCTCTCCTCCTCTCCTTTCTGTCCTTTTGGGGTTACAGTGCTATATGCATCAGCGAAACAATAACACTAGAATTCTAAGAAATTCTGTATAATCTAAACATAGATGTAGGTAGTAGAGAGGAAGGCAACAATTTAATGGCAATATAATATTGATGGACAGAATAAACCAAGTTTGGAAATTCCATAGTAAATTCCCATTCTCCTCTAAGAACCTGACTGCACTTTGAGACTTTCTGGGGAAGTTCTCTCTTTCTTACCACTCCCACAAGTACCTCTGGTGGGAATCCAGGACAGGGTCTTCTTGGTGGCTGTTCCCAGGCTCTGGAATTCCCTTCCTAAAAAGGTCAGACTAGTACATTCCTTGCTATCTTTCTGCAGTCAGGTGAAAACCTTTTTATTCTGACAGGATTGTGAGAACTGTTTTGTTCAAAAGGGGAAATGGATCTTGTATAATGTGCTGGACTTTTCTTTGTGGGTTTTTGTTTAATGGTTTGTCTTTTTACTTGTTTTAATAGTTTGTTAGTTTAATTACTCAAAAACATTTTTATTGAATGAAATAAAACATGACAAATTCCAACTGAACAAAGTAAAATATACAGACTGTCAGCATTCCTTAACAAAACATATAATAAATGCATATATGCACATTTCTTTTAGCTTTTGTATTCTTTGAACTTTTGCACGATAAATCCTGAACTGGGAAAAGGATGGAATAAAAGGAAAGAGGAGAAGGAGAAGGAGAAGGAAAGCAACCACAACTGCATGGATTAGCAATTACAAACAAGAACATGGCATCATTTTCTGATCAACAATTATCTGTCAAAAAGGCTACTTCATTTCTGATCCCTCCAGTGTGCCTTGAGAGAAAGGGTGTATCCCAGGTTGAAGAGATACATTTTAATACTATTCTGGACTCCAAAATAGTAGTAGTAGTAGTAGTAGCAGTAGTAGAAGACTGAATTGAAACTGTGGCACCTAGTTATCTGCAGTAGATACAAACTAGTCAAGCATAAGCAATTATAAATAATTAATTTCAATGGCAGGTGAGCAGTTCTATATTATGTATGTTTTCTTAAGTGTTTTCTTAAGAGTTCTGTATTATATATGTTTTTAAAGAGTTTTCTTGAGAGTCTCAGCAATAGGCTTGCTTCCTGGTAAATGTGACAGGATTGCAACATTAACCATGTGTTTCAGGCTGTAATTCTATACTTATTTTCCTAGGAGCAAGCACCATTTAACACAGTAGAACTCACTTCTGAGCAGATATGTATAGGATTGTAAGTATGTGCCTTTGCAGACTGCTAGAAATAGTGCAAATTGAGTCCACTTTAACTGCCCTGGCTCAGTCCTAGGGAATCATGGGAACTGTATTTTTTTTCTGCGACATTGACCCTTCTCTGTCAGAGAGCTCTAGTGCCACAATAAACTACAGTTCCCATGATTCCCTAGCATTGAGCCAGGGCAGTTAAAGTGCACTCAATTTGCACTATTTCTGTATATCTCATTGGAACTGACTTAAATTAGCTTAACTTTCGCTGCAGTTTTTCACACACTTAACTTGGAATACATTCTATTGAATTCAGTAGATTCTACACTTCTAAGCAATTGTCCATTGGACTGCATAGTTGGCTGAAATTTTGCAGCATTGCACTTTATCACACGGGAGGCAAACATCTTCCTCCCACATATAAAGTGCATTTAATCCCAAAAATATCCTGCAAGAGCAGAATGATTTTCAGACGACGTCCCCCAATGTTGCATTTGCAGAGGGGCGAGATATAAATTATTATTATTATTAGTAGTAGTAGTATTAGTATTATTATTATCATCCCACAATTAACCCGTGAATAAAGCAGCAAAATCCCACCGCTTTTTATTCATGGGAAAATCCCAAAAACAAAACGTGGCATGATTTGCCACCTTATTCATGGGTTAATTGCAGGATAATGGTGATGCTGGGGACGTTGTCTGAAAATCATTCTGCTCTTGTGGGATATTTTCAGGATTAAATGTGATTGCCTCCTATGTGATAAAGTCCAAAGTTCAGCCATGTCTCTTGGTGGTTTTTAGCTAAATATATTAAACACAAGGACAGAAGTTAATTATGTACAATGAATCTCTGTTTTAAAATCTAGAGTGCACTGTATATTGTTAAAAGATATGTAAGGTGAGAGGCTCAGTGTTTGGTTGTATGCAATTTTAACACAGCCTGATATGTTAAATATACTGTCTCTAACTCCATAGTGGACAAAAATAAGAAAACACGTTTCCATTTAGTGACTGACCTCAATCTCTGAATGAGGACCCCTGGATGTTACATTAGCAGGCTGGGCTTCATTACACCACCACACACTCTCTTCAGTCTACTGAAATATTGATTTTTTGGACTGCGCACACACAGTGTAAAATCAATATCCAGTACATATAGCAGCGTGGTTACAGTATAAAGGCCAACTCACTGGCATTGTATATGTGTGTCATGTCCAAATGTTGTAGTAGGAAAGGTAGGATGAGAAAGGTAAAAATATACAAAAGAAAAACCAGAACCTAAAATGCAAAAACAGTACAAAGGAAGACAGGAAAATACAGACGATGAAAAGAAGCATATGGATAAAGAAAAGCAAACTGAAGGGGAGTCCATATGAAGACAAAGGGAAGGATGAACAGGGGAAAAAGAGGTGAGAAATGCTTTGTGAAAAATGTTGTCAAATATGTATGAAAATCTGTATCTGACACAGATACAACTGTGCGGGACTGCAGTTTAGATCCAGTGTAAAAAGGCTCATTCTCTAAATTATTTTCATGTTATATGTGAAGCAAGTAGCAATTAGTAAAGACTAGCACATGACACAGAAATACTTAGAAAAGTCAGCATAAGTAGATTCCTCTGCAAAGTGAAATGCTTTCTTTTTTAGATAAGAGAGATGTGTCTACCCATGCTTTTGGTTACAAACATGAACTGTCAGCACTGTGTAGAGCAAGTCATGAATGCATTACAGAGTTACTGTCTTATTTATTATTAATTTGCTATTTCTTAATTTATGTAAGAATATGAGTTTAGCTTGTGGGTCAAGTTCACTGTTTAATCTATGCTCACTCATATTAACTGAGGGCCTTTGCAGACTGCCAGAAATAGTGTACATTAAATTGAGGCACAGACCTGGCTCAGTGCTAGGGAGTCATGGGAATTGTATTTTTTTCTGGGACATTGAGCCTTCTGTGTCAGAGAGCTCTGGTGCCACAATAAAATACAGTTCCCATGATTCCCTAGCACTGAGCCAGGACAGTGCCTCAATTTAATGTGCACTATTTCTGGCAGTCTGCAAAGGCCCTGAGTCTGCACTGCCAAAATAATGCAGTACAACAATGCTTTAACTGCTCTGCTCAGTGCTATGGAATCCTGGGATTTGTAGTTTGTTGTTGCACCAGTGCTTTCTGACAGAGAAAGCTACATAGCTCACAAAACAGGGTTCCATAGCGCTGAGCCATGGAAGTTAAAGTGGTATCAAACTTCATAATTTTAAGAGTGCAGATTCAGAGCCATTGCCTTTCTTGGAAAGAGATTTGCTGAGATTTGTTGTTGTTGTTGTTGTTGTGTGCCTTCAAGTCATTTCTGATTTATGGTGACCCTAAAGCAAACTTATCATGAAGTTTTCTAAGCCTGAGAATGTATGACTCATCCAAGGTTGCCCAGTTAGGAACATTATCACATGAGGCTTCTATTGCAGGACTAGAGCAAGACAGTAGTGTTATTGGGTGGTACTCACTGCACATCCTGTCTTCATCCCATTGCTGGTGTATACTTCAGTCGTTTCTGAAGCATATCTTTTCATTGACGGGGAAAAGCTGTCAATTATTCCCAGTAGCACTGCTACCTAGGTAGTCCCTCTCAT